CCTTAGGTGTGCGCAACTTGCCGCTGATCGTCGGTGGGGATTTCAACTTAATCCGTTCGGGAGCGGACAAGAACAACGGGATTATTAACTGGACAAGGGTGTCCATGTTTAATAACGCGATAGCATCAATGGCCCTTAGGAAAGTGGCCCGCGTGGGCGCACGTTACACTTGGACAAACAAGCAGCTTACACCAGTTTGGTCTGTGCTTGACCGAGTGTTCATGTCCGCGGAGTGGGAAATGTTGTTTCCCATGTGCTCCTTACACACTGAAACGAGGATCGGGTCGGATCACGTCCCTCTGATTCTTTCCTCGGGGGAGGATAGGTTAAAACAAAGCCCCCGGTTTTTCTTTGAGACTGCGTGGTTTGAGCACCCGGAGTTCGAGCAAATCTTCCTCTCCAAATGGGAGACTTGTGTTGCCCGGATCGGGCACACGCGTGGGCCCATGGAATTCTAGATTGCCGCAGGGGCGGGGATGCGTGCGGCCCTAAAAGGCTGGGGGGGAACCAGGGTCGTGAGGATAAGCTGCTCCGTGCGCGTTTGGTCGCGGACCTCGCCCGTATGGATGCAGCTGCAGACTCTCAGGCCTTCTCGGAGCAAGATTGGGCCCAGCGCTATGCTGTAGAGGCCCAAGTTGAGGCCCTCCTACGTGCTGAGGAGGAGTACTGGCGTAGGCGTGGTGGAATCAAGTGGACGCTCAAGGGGGACGCGAATACACAATATTTCCATGCCTATGCTAACGGCCGGCGCCGTAAATGCGCCATCCTAAGACTGCAATCTGAGCAGGGGCTCCTTTTGCGTCAACATGATATTATTCGGCATATTTACGACTTTTACATCCAGTTGATGGGCTTCAGGGAGGAGGCCCGGGCTCGGCTGCGGTCGGATGTTTGGGATACCGTGCTGCGGGTCACGGATGAGGAGAATGAAGGCTTGGGCCTCGCCTTCCTTCCCCAGGAGATCGACCAGGCCGCCCTTGGGATGAAATCTGACACCGCCCCGGGATCGGATGGGTGGCCGGTGGCGATGTTCAAAAGGTTCTGGCAAGTGCTCAAAGGACCTATTTTCGAAGTATGTAACGGGTTTATGCGTGGTACAGTAGATATTTCCCGCCTTAACTTTGGGGTTCTTTCTCTTATCCCCAAAGTCCAGGGCGCGGACAACATTAGACTCTTCCGCCCAATAGCGCTTATCAATGTCCCGTTTAAGATTTGTTCTAAAGCTTGTTCTACGCGCTTATCTCCGGTAGCTCATCGTATTATTAGTAGGAATCAGTCGGCTTTTATCCGTGGTCGCAACATTTTGGAGGGACCGCTGGCCCTCCAAGAAACCGTTCACTCGCTCAAGCGCACTCGCCAGCCGGCGATTCTTTTAAAATTAGATTTTGAGAAGGCGTACGATCGAGTGAACTGGGAGTTCCTCCGACAAATCCTTTTGGATCGAGGATTTTCGTCGGTTTGGGTTCACCGTATGATGCAATTGGTCTCGGGAGGCCAAACGGCGATAGCGGTGAATGGAGAAGTAGGGAACTTCTTCCGCAACAAGCGTGGGCTACGTCAAGGGGACCCAGCCTCACTGTTGCTTTTCAACTTTGTGGCGGACGCCCTGGGCGCTATGCTAGACAAAGCTCGCACAGCTGGCCACATTAGGGGAGTGGTCGGTAACCTGATCCCAGGAGGCGTGTCACACTTGCAGTATGCGGATGACACTCTTCTCCTTTTTGAACCCGACGCTCACAATATCGCAACGGTTAAGGCCATCTTGCTGTGTTTTGAACTCATGTCCGGGCTAAAAATTAACTTCCAAAAGTGTGAAGGTGTCCATAGGGATGGACGCGGCCGAAAGTGAACGGGTTGCCAACTTGCTTAATTGCAAACTTGGGAAGTTTCTGTTTACCTACCTCGGCCTCCCAATCGCAAAGAAGAAATGCTCGATTGCCGATTGGGAACCTCTCACCACTAAGGTGGCGGACCGGGTATGTCCGTGGAGAAGCCGATTTATGTCTTCAGGGGCAAGACTAATCCTTACCAACTCCAGCCTCTCATCCCTACCAATGTTTGCCATGGGTATGTTCTTTTTGGCTGCTGGGGTCCACACGAAAATGGACACACCGCAGGCACGTTTCTTTTGGGAAGGAGCGGGCCCTAAACGAAAGTACCACTTGGTTAAGTGGCAAGCCGTTTGTAGACCTAAAGCCCAGGGGGGCCTCGGGATCATCAACTCTAAGCTGATGAACATAGCGCTTATGTGCAAGTGGATCTGGAAGTTGTCCCAGGGAGGGACCGGCCTCTGGATTGACCTCCTTCGTGCCAAGTATTTCCCACAAGGGAATTTCTTTGAGGCAACACCTCAGGGGTCCCCATTCTGGACCTCCATCCAAGCCCTCAAACCATACTTCGCCAGGGGTGTGAGGTTCACGGTTAATAACGGCCGCTCCACGCGTTTTTGGCATGACGTTTGGATAGGCCAGCAGCCTCTCTGGTCGGAGTTCACCCATCTCTATTCCATTGCGGTGGAGCCCAACCAATTGGTTGCTTCGGCCCTTAGTGCCACTCCGCCCCCTATACACTTCAGAAGAGAGCTTGTGGGGCCGGAGCTGGAAGATTGGGATCGCCTTCTGGCTCTGTTAGCAAATGTGCGTCTGTCGGACTCCGCAGACGTGGTCTCTTGGAGACTTTCGGGCTCTGGCAAGTTCACTGTCAAGTCCCTGTATCGCGAGTTATGTCGCGGCCATGCTCCTATGGCAGCCACGTGGCTTTGGAAGGCGTGAATCCCGCTAAAGATTAAGGTCTTCCTATGGCAACTATGCCAAGATCGCCTTCCTACCTCTATCAATATAGCTAAGCGCAATGGCCCCACTTCTAGCCCTTGCACTTTGTGTGCTGACGCGGAAGATGCTGACCACGCGTTCTTCCGGTGTCCTTTGGCGCGTTTTGCTTGGAGTGCGGTCCGTGAGGCCGCTGGGGTGGATTGGGATCCATGCTCACGCTCTGAGCTCGTGTCACTCTTATCCTCGATCCTGGGCTCTCTGCGCCGGATCATGTGGACGTGTGCCTCGGCCATGTTATGGGCCTTATGGAACATTGTAACAAGCTTACTATTGAGGGAGTGTTTCCCTCTCATCCCGCTGATGTTATTTTCAAATGCATCTTATTCTTGCAGCAGTGGGCTTCGCTGGGAAGGCAACAGGACTCTCATCTTCACCGACAAGCTATCGCACGACTTCGCTCCGTCTACTCAGCGTCCCGAGCTCCGTCTCCTTCGGCTGCTGCCTCATAGGGATGGGCAGTCCTTTTGGTGTTGGATCCCCCCGAGCCTGCGTGCTCGTTAGTTTGGCTGGTTAGGCCATGTACTGCACTTTATCTCGCCGTCGTGACCATTGTGGCATGCCTTAGAACATGGTGACCTCCGTATGTTTGACTGTTCATTTATGTACGCTGCCTATATTGAGGGCTTTATTAATTTAAAGCCGGACGTCCCTGACGTCTATATTCTAAAAAAAACATGAAATGGGACGGCCAAAGGTTCTTTTGTTGAGTAGGCACATGATAGTGATGCTAAATTAGCAATTAACAAAATTTCTGCGCGTTGGTTACACACACGGACAAGGTGCTCGTGTACACATTCGAGTCAACAGCCTACATTAACAAAAAATAATTAGTTGAGTTGAGCCTACATCAACATTATGAGGTCAGTATGCAACTACCCAGCATTCATCACGAAAGAGACCACTACCCATACCATAAATTTACTCTTGATGAACAACAGTCCACCTGTGCTATGGAGAAGGGGAAATTTTCCTGAAATTTTGATGAGGGCAGCTCGTCCGTCGAACATACTCTCTCGGCGTCTTATATTTAGGAAAGGAAGAAATATTATTTAGCAGCTCGATTTGTGGAGTTGCAAACAAAACACAGGCCCGCTTGGCACTAGTATTATATTAAGCAGAATCATTCCAGCCACCATAGATATTCTTTTTTTTGGGGGCAGGAATCATAGATATTCTTCGAGGGGGCACAGAATGAACATCACCGAGCACTGAAAACGACACACTAGTTTATCCAATAAACAGGAGTGAGAATCCAGACCATCTTACAAGTAAGTTAGCGCAACTAACCCATCGCAAATCCAACAAGAACATCCCAACCAACAACCGAACATAATCCAACCAGAACATTCCCTCCCCCAAAAAGAAAACAAATTCGACGAGAACATCTCGTCTCGCTTTACGGCCGGGTAAAGAAAAGAAAAACCCAAAGAAAGGAGGAAGGAGTACTAAAACAAAAAGAGAAAATATACTCTACTCAAAATAACCAGGCCAGGCCCAAGCGCGGCCCGCCCGTCGCGATCGCGGTGCATCATCCTACGGTCGGCGTCGCTTCGTCCCCGTCGGTCGCCCACCCTCACCTCACCTCTCCTCCTCCTCTCGCAGGAAATACTCTTCCGTCCCCCATCTTTGAACCTTCCTCCTCCTCCGCGCTGACCTACCCTCACCCTCCCCTCCCCTCCCCTCCCCTCCCCGGCGACAAACCAGGCCCTCCTAC